TAATTTTTTAACCGTTAAAAGATATCTTACAATCTGAGTCACGACGAATCTCAAATCGTACGTGGAATACGGGTCACACCAGCATTTTTATGGGAACCGTGTGTTCTACATTCAATGAATGCGATGAAAGATATCTATCGAGAACCTAATCTGGTTCTATGTATAATAGCAGTTCATTCAAGTGCACTAATACTGACACGTTCCATTTGTCTACTGCATATTCATATGTCATATGTATGAGGCGCATTGGGATACATCGATTGTGAATGTCCAGCAATAGTTCGATCCTTTTCCAGCAAATTTACCTCTCCGCATTGTGCTACAGTGGATTCTGAGCAACAAGTGTGAGTCATGGACGCCGCCATCTTGACTCAGCGTATTCTACAGTTTCAAAGAGCCTACGAGTTCGTCGAGCAAAATTTGAGGCCCTGTATTTTAAGAAACGTGAAGCATAAAAGCTTAGTTACCTGATCCGGAGAATCAGGCTCCTTTTGTTGCAGCGACTGTTGCTGGTTGTAGTTATTCTCAGCTGCCTTTTGCAGCAATGGAGCGAGTTCTTCGAGAAGCTCTTGCTGCAGCTCATCTCCATCAATCACATCATCGTCTTCCCGCATTACAGCAGATCCAACGAAGTCGTCGACCCCTCCTATTTTCGAGACAGAGTCCCAAGCCATACCGAGCAGTCGTTGGGCAAAGACCATCCTGGACTTGGGCCCAAGACCAAGCATCATCCTATAAAACGGGTCCGACATCGAGCTTCAACGGTCACTAGTCGATGCGTACAGTGCGCAGAAAATGATCGTCGCTAGCGTCGCCTTCAGTGCTGACACGCTCATCTTGAACATCGTTTTTTTTTTATCTGCTGTTGATGGAAAATTGAATGTCTATGATTTTTTTCCCGAAGGATGTCATTCAGGAATTCCACGAGAGAATCACATTTGCCGCTATAATTATTAATTCTTTAAACCAGGCCAGTCTATCTATTTTTTCTAAAAACGTCGAGCCAAGAATCTTGTTTCAAATCCTAGATTTTTCGCTTTAGAATGGCAAGCACTAAAAATTTGGGTTTGATGAATATGAGAACAGAAATGGGCATATTTTGAAGTACGTTCGAAGAAAAATATAAATTGCTGAAAAATCATGCTCTTACCGAAGTGTTCTGTTGTTGATGTGGAAGGGAATTTTCCCGCTTCCGGTCTCACTACAGATCTGCAAAAACATCCAGGGTTGTTAAATATTAGTTCAGGATGGGATAACGTTTTCGAAACAGTTGAAAAAAATCACATTTTCAAAGTTTAATATATTTTTACGGCGTAAACCTGTATTCAAGCGTATAAACTCCCGAAAACCAAAGGTTTATCGCTTAACAAACGTCTTCTTAATAAAAATAAAAAGCCGTTGTAAGTTTTTAATTCCTTTTCTCTCCGAGGTTTCAAGAAAAAAATTGAGATTGTTTTGCAAATGAAATATGAACGGATTTCGGGAAGAATTCATTCCGTAGCATATTTTATCATTTTTTCGTGCTGCTAAAATTGAAAGACTCGACCTCATATTTTTAAAATATATTACTGTTCAGTATCTATTTATGAAGAAATTGAGAATATAAATCGGAGACAATAATTTTTTTTTCAAATGTTCGGGGTTTTTTCAACAAGTTTTGAGGCGGAACTTTTTCTGCGAATGTTTCAGTCTTGATCGAGGATGGAACACGTATTTCTGCCCATTTCTGCGAAGAATTGGCGCATCATGAGCACATTTCGTAAACGCTGATAATATTTTATGCAACTTGATTTTTGATACAGTATGTTTAAAAACTGCCGCGAAAAATTTCAACATATTTCAAGTACCGAAAATCGCTCGACTTTCTGACCTTGACTGCGAAAGAGGAAATTTTTTTGCCTACTATTTTCCCAAGTGAGAAGAAAAAACGAAGCTACTGAGATCACATTTCAGCACGTTTTTTGCAGTACAGTAATGGTCGCTTTCCGACAGGCTGCTGAAAATGCGTTTTTTCGTCCCAATTCCCAAAAAGTGGCCCAATTTTACGGGAGGAAAAATAGAAGAACCTCTCGGCACATTAACGGGAAAAATTATTTGAAAAATAATATTTAATTTTGGAGTTTTCGTTTACAATAGATCAATGCAGCGAAAAGCGTTTTTCTCGCATTTTAATTCACGGAAATCATTCCATCTTATCACATATTCTTTTTTCGGGGGATAAATGGGGTAATCTTTTAAAAAGTGTACGAGTTAAACTGACAATATTATTTTAGAATTTATCTCTAATATTATGTCAGCTTCCTCATTTCCAACAGACAGAAATGTCCTAAAAAGGCTTCTTATTCTCGCATTTCAGTCCCCGAAATTATTTGATTTAATTATAAAGTAGAATCTCGTCACAAGGAAGTAATGATTAAAGCTACATTTGTTCTTTTAAGGTTCCTTGCCGCAATTGCCACAATGTTAGATGAGGTACTGTATAACGAATTTTTTCATGACTAAGAAGCTATTTTACTGGTCCTGAATGATGGCTTCATTGTAATGAAATGTCACTGTATAGCTTCACTAAAGGATGCAGGAGTTATTCATGCTCACAAATTCCAAGAAAAAAAAATGATTGGGACTCAATTCAACACGTATCTTCCGAAAAAATGGGGAATAAGTTCAATTGCCACAATTAGATGTTGAATGAGTAACTGCATAATAAATTTTTATTATTATTACACTCTGGTCCTATAATGACTGTGTTATTGTAATGAGATTTTACTGTATATATATATATATATAGCTTCACCAAAAATCTGCAATATTTTATTTATGCTCACAAATTCCAGGGGGGAAATAATTCAAAATAAATTGGTACACACAATTCCGCGCGTATTTTTTCAAAATATAGGGAAGAAACTAAGCCAGGGAGTTTTTCTGCCGCCTCTGGCCGGGGCGAAACGACGTCTGCCACGGGGAGAGACGAGGCCTGGGTCAGACGAGGTCGGCCTCGGGGGGGGATCCGCGTGGGCGTCTCGCGTGGGCACCGAGGATCCTTCCTTCCTTCCTTCCTTCCTTCCTCACTCACTCATCGCCCTCCTCCTCCCTTTTTTTCTAGCTGCCCCGCGGGCGCAAGGGGATGGGAGAAAGGGAGGATCCCTCAATGGAAGGATCCTCCCTCAGTGATATGACAGATATAACGGATGTCCAACGTGATGACGAGAGGGGGAAGAACGCGTGCATTTATGCACATATTCCTTCTCCCCCCCCCCCCCCCCCTGTTCTTAATGATTTCTCAGAATACCCTGCCTATAAATATATATATTAGCACTTGGAATTTATATTATGCTCCAATAATATTCTTAAAATGCTTTTTTTATGAGGAGGAGGAGAGCTTATATATTGTTATTTGTTTGTTTGTGGTTTTTGGAAAATGTGGCGGAATATTCGAATTTTTGTGAAAGGGAGGCATGAAGAATTTGGTTGAGGAAATGAAAATTTTGTCCAAGTTGAAAAATCGTCTCCACCATTTTTAAAATGATACTTTTTCCTAGTTTTTGATGGGATATTCAGAGGGTGAATGTTTATTTCTCCATTTTCTTTGAATTTATTTGTTTTCTGGGCTTGTTTGAATGGGAGAACATGTCTGTTACCAATAGGAGAATTCTCACTGATTTTACTTCAGAATTAATTTTAAATTTAATTTAACTTAAAAATTTGTTTGTTTTTTTTTGTTTTGTTGGCAGAAGCGGCTGAACTATTTTTTACAAGCAAAAGATTAAAAGGCATTTGTGGTTGGTTTTAAAATCCCAAAACTATACAGTATTTGCTCTCTTATGCTTGAAACTTTCTTCTGTGAAAATCTGAAGACTTGAAGTTTTTTGATTAGAATTCAGTTGAAGTTTTTTTTGCGATTTCCGAATATTTTTTTTCGGATTTATAAAACTTTTTCAACCGAAGCATCAAGATTGTAAGTTGAGAATAAATTACCATGACGATGCTTTAGATTTAAAAAATTGAATGTTGTATTTTATCTTTCAATTCGAATATTTCTGTATTTTATCGAATTAAAAATGTTTTTTCGCAGCAGTGATCATCAGCTCATTTCATAGGTTAATACAATATCAGAGAAATGCGTCAATTTTTCAAACACTTTCGCAATATTTAGCGAATTTTATTTATTACAAGTTTCTTTGATGCAACATTTTATAATTTCAAGTATCTGAAAACATAGGATATCTGCCAACAACAACAAAAATATGCATACAACTTTCAGTGATGATCGTGGTGTCCTTCAAAAATTAGCTGGATTCCAGAATTTTTTTATGATAGCACCCTGTAGTCGAAGCTATTGGGATTTCTGAATGAAACTGCGGGTCTTCCTGGGGGAGGTGACATTCACTCCCTTCCTGGGTACGCCCTGAAGATCCATTTGAGGATTCCTCCGAGGGATCAATTGGGGGATCCTTTTCGGGATACTGGATGCTGCAGGGGGGGGGGGGGGGGAACATGGCGTTCACCGCCCCCGCAAATCCTTGATATAGTGCTGAANGTAACATGGCGTTCACCGCCCACGCAAATCCTTGATATAGTGCTGAATTGGGATGTGACAGACGAGTGGTGTGAGATGGACTGCAGACAAAACCGCCTTGGGTTTTGTATTGTGATAATCCTCTGTTGCATCACTTATGGATGAGACTCATTACGACATATTATACGAGTATAATGAACACGTAAGGTATTATGGACACATGGCATGAGGAACACTTTGACCTGATTAACTCAGGCTATAAGACCAATTTTTCTTTTGGGTGTATAGTGGACCTATCTTTGAATTTTGTTGTGAAAAGCATGTCTATTGTCAATGGAATGGGTGCAAGTTGCTTTTGAAGGTAAAAATGCTCAAATTCTTTTTTCTTTGCTAAATTTTCTGAAGAAATAGGCTTTTCCTGGAGCTAAATACTAGAGCATATTTGCACAAAAAATAAATTCGCATTTTGTTTTGGGGTTTTACAGCCTTTTCCCTTGAATTTAGCTCAAAATCTAGATATAATGCATATACAGTAATCACATTTAAAATGACCTAAAATTTCGTGGATCTTGAAATTTCTGCAAAAGGGGATTTTCTTTGAATTTCCTTTTGAATCTACATTTCAAGAATTTAAATTACAGTTATAGGGAATTTTATTTTATTTTATTTATGTTAAACTATTTTCCACCAACATTCTACATTTTAATGTAAAGCCTTTTTTGTTCTTGAGAGCAAAACACTTGCTTCACTGTGTAAGAAATATGTTCCTTTATCTGAGTTTTTCGCAGTCTCTAATATTACACTGTGATATACTGAAAATACAATGCATGGATATAAATCAGTAAAAGTGTTGAAAACTGGTAAAAATATTGAATCTCTAGAGTCGATTCAGCCTCATTGGGTTACTTTTTTGCATTGCCACAGTTATTGGAAAGTTCAAGAAACTTATTTTGGATTATTATATTTCTAAAGCAGAATAAATTGATCAAAAGTAGCAATAAGGAATTCTGTTATCTCTATCTGAAATTTTGGGAAGACAATGGCAGTTGAAATTATTGATGATGAGTTGGTTTTTTGTCTGATAACATTTCAGACAAAATTTCACCTGCTGAAATAAAATATTTTAATTTTTCATTCTGAGAAACCTTTCTTCAAGCCCACCTTTCTAAGCTTTTGAAGATATTCAACATGGCTGCTTCAATACTTCTTGAATTAGTTTTTGCAAAAAGGCAGTAACTTTTTGAATACCAGTCATAAAGTCTTTAAAAACAT